TCGTGCGTCGCGGGGGCCGCGGGTCGGGGCTGGGGACGGCGCCGACGGGGCCGTCCGGGTAACTCAGCTGAAGCCACCCAACATCCACAGCCCTTTTAGAGTTTTGTCGCCGAAGCGCTAAACCTATTTCCACCAGTAAATTATTCATCATAATAATAATTGTGTAATTACTGTAAGGGGCGTTAATTATTGATGCCCAACGCAGTAATTGGTATCTATTATTAATGGGCCGATGTGTTATGCTGTTGTGTTTAGCTGGAAGCCTCGGTCCTGCCTTCCCTGCCGGGGCCGGGGAGAGGGGCCCGCGTGGCTCCCCCCGGCCCAAATCCGCCCTCTCTCGGCGCCGGTTCGGGACAGGGGTGAAAGAACTTGGGGCTCTGGGGCCCACCCGGGACCAGAGCCGGGGCCGAGCGCTTCCCCTCGGGGGGCGCTTTTTAAACGCGTGTGGGGTGCGGAGCCCCTGGGTGCTATAGCGAGGTCGGGAGAGGCAGGATGGGGCCCCCGAGGCGCGGAGAGCCCGGGGCCGCGGCCCAGGCCGTACCCGGGCGGGAGGGAACGGTGCGTTTTTACCTTCTGTTCTGGTACCACGTTTTCACCTGCGTGTCGGTGAGGTTGAGCGAGGCGGCCAGTTCCATCCTGTCCTGCACGCTCAGGTATTTCTGCCGCTCGAAGCTGCGCTCCAGCTGGGCCAGCTGATGGTCCGTGAAGGCGGTGCGGGCTTTGCGGGGCTTTTTGAGCCGCACCGGGGGGCTGTCCCGGGAGCTGGAGATTTCTCGGTCTCCTTCTTCTTTCACTGGGTCGAGGGGGAGAAAGAGAGGTCAGATTAGGGCAGGAAGGGAAGAGAAGGACGCTGCGAGGGGGGAGGGTGATTCCCTGCTACAATAAACTACAGAAGAGCTCAGGTACCAAGACGGATTCCAAGAGCGTTTGCGCTGCAGACCCGTAAATTTTAACAGGGCCAAAGAGCCCATTCCGCGCCCAAGGGGGACTTGCAGGTGTCCCCAAGGCTGGTCCCGACCTGTGCCAGTCCCCAAGACCTGGCAGTAGGGCTAGAAAACCAGGAGGGAGACCGATTTTTTGGCGGGTGGCCGGAGCTGAAAGCGCTGCCTCCCTCCCCGCCGGTTCCTGCTCCTGCTCCGCTCCGGGAGCTGCACAGCGGTTTGGTCCACAGATTCGCGCCCTCATTTCACCCTGGGTAGGATCCTACCCGAGTTTTATGGCTGAGAACCCAAACAGTATTCTTGCGGGGTTTTTGGTTTAGGTTTTGTTTTTCTTTTTTCTTATTTTTTTAAACCCAAAACGAAACCAAGCCAAATGGATCGGGTGAGACCGTGTTTCTGAAGCGGAAAATAGTGGAGGAGACGCCTCAGACTTTGCTGCCCTCCGTGCAGAGCCCCCCTCCTCCCCGCGATGCCCCAGTCCTCGCAGGGCGTGAAAGGGGCCCCCCCTTCCAGGCTTACAACGAAATGTTGAGGAAGCGGCGCCGCCAGCCCGGGCCTCTGCCGTGACTTCCCTTAAAAAAGGCGCGTGGAGGCGGATTGGGAAGCGAGGGGGTCGGTGGGTGCTCGCGGAATACGCGCTTGGCGGATCAATAAGTTACAGCAACGCGGGGACGAGGACGGCGGGGATTTGCGCAGCAAAACATTTGTACGGTACCGGGAAAATAACCGAGCAGGGGAGAAAAAAAAGAAAAGAGAAGAAAAAAAAAGACCCCCAAATTTAAACAAAAATATATAAACAAGGCAAAGAATAAAAAAGCAAAAAGCTCTGTCCTCGCCTTTCCCACCCTCCTAGATTATGCAGGAAAAAAAAAAAGAAAAAAAAAAGAAGAAGAAGCTCCGTTTACATGAATCGGCGGCATTAGATTTTTACGAGGGTTTATGTTAAATTTCCTCGTGGAAGGTGTTAGAAGTGACAGGGCTGGAGCTGAACGCGAGTTGATTTCTCTCTGTAGGAAGACAATAATCCGGTTAATTGAGCCACCGGGGAGCGAAACCTTTCAACCAGAAATCCCGGCTCTTCCGCACAGGCAAAGCCCGGGCCGGGGAATATCCCGGTTTCGCTGACCGGACCGGCGGCCAGGAGCGGGGGGGGGCCCCGACCCCGCTGCCTCCCGCGAAGGCACCGAAGTTTGCACAGAGTTTTGCCTTGCCCGGGGGTAAACGGGCGGAGGGAGCCGAGCTTCGCCTCCCGCATCCCGGGAAAAGCGCATTCCTCGAGCCCCTCGGCCGGCCCGGTTAGGTCCCGCCGTCGGGATAAACCTCCTGTCCCGCAAAGCTCATTTTCGTTAGCGGGGGAGATTTCCCCGTTCCAGATATCTCCCCCTGGTTATCTCTAGGTTACAAAACAGTAGTTAAATAATACTATATATATATATACACACACACACATATACATACACACACATATATATATAACGAGTGTTTCGTCACTTTTGCATGGGTCAAATCCTGCTGGCCTCACTGCGGGGAGGCCCCAGCTTTGTAGCCCATTTCCCAGAGTAAAGTCGGGTGCATTTTGCCTGAGGAAAGGCTATTTCCAAAGCTGGAAAAAGAATTGTATTGGAACTGCGGCCATTCGTCTACTACTCTATTTAAACAGTGTTTTTTACTCCATTGACGAGAATGTTTCAAACTCCATTTAAGCAGTGTTTTTCTCCCTTTAAACGATATTTTTAACGGGGGCTGAGGATGCAGGGGAGAAGGCGACGAGCCGGCGCTCGGGAGGAGATTTCCCTCCGAGCCGGTCTAGCAGCGCGGCCCGGGTTTCCACCACCGTCGTCGTTGCGATGATCTTCATCGCATTTGCCTAATGCGGAGTGAGGTGCTGCCGTCCCCGCCTCGGGCTCGGCTCTGGGCAGCCTTTTCTCTCCTCGTCTTAGGCTAAGGGCAACAACCGAAATGTGCCCCTGGCAGCAGAGAGCTCGGCCCGGCTCGGTGCAAAGCGGCGAAGCCGCATTTCTTTTCCTCTACCGCTTCTCGCCTGTCTCGGCACGCCGGGAATGGGGACAAAGAGCGTAAGAATTCAGGGGAAAAACGCAGGAGACGAAAATAAAGCCCAAAGCGGGGAATCGCTGCTGCTTTCGATTCCAGACTTTCAAAACCGCGGAGCCGATTCCAGCTTTTCTCCCGCTCGCTCGCAGACCTGGCGCCAGCCCCGGGCTCTTCTCCCCGAGCAGAGGGCAGATGCACCGGGAGCGCCCGGACCGCTCCAGCTCCTGCTCTCGGCGATGATTTTTTTCCTCCCCGAAACCTCCCGGGCTTCAGCGCGGCGGCCTCGGGCGGCCTCGTGTCCCGGGGAGCAGGGCCGGGGCTCGGCCCGTCCCCCTCTTCCAGCCCGGTACCCCAAGTGCAGCGGCCCCTCACCGTGCCAGGACCCCCCGGCCGCTTGGACCCCCTCGCAAACACCCGTCGAACAATTTCCCCAGGTGAAAGTTTAGAGGAGGAGGATGCGGGCGGGATGGGCGAAGGCGACCGGAATAGCGAGGACCAGCAGTGCCCACCGGAGACCCCAGGCCTCCTTTGCTCCCCCTCGGCTCCGGCTGAGGGAGGGAAAGGCCGAGCAGGGGCTGAGGGGGAAGAGAGGAGAGAACCCCGGCCCGGGGCGGGCGGCAGCCGCCTGCTGCCTCCCTCCGAAAGAATAACAGAATAACCGACACAAAAACGGCGACACAAATCCGATCTAAACACGGCGACTTTCGTATTCGTTTGTCGCTCGCAGCAGGGGAAACCCCCAACAAAACCTCGCCGTTGTTATTTGGTGGTTGTTGTTGTTCAGGCAAAATACTCCCCCATGCCTCTCTCTCCCCTCTCCTCGCGGCCGGGAAGGGGAAAACGGCCGCATCTCCTCGCGGAAAGAACCGGCGGATCCTCCTCGGCGCCTTTGGCGAGGCCCCCCCATCCCTCTCGCCCCCGAATTTGCCCAAGTTGGCGCCGACCCCGCGCTCTTTTGGGGCGGCCGCTCCGGGCTCCGCGGAGGCTCCGCGCTCCGGGAGGCTGCGGGCCAGGCCGCCTTCGCTCTCTGCTCAAAGCCCCACGGGCCGAGCGCCTCTTACCTTTGTACTCCGAGTCCGAAGAGGAGCTGCTGGTGTTTTTGTCCATTTTCTCCCTAAAGTCCTCGCCGGGCTTGGTGGGGATCCTGCCCGCCGGCTCCTGCCCGCCGGG